ATCACTGTTGCTTTCCCTTTATCTGCTGGTACAATAGATATTTCTTTATTGTCTTTTAATTCTTTGATGGCCTTAATTTCGTTTTTAGTTAGGTTTGGTTTTTGATTGATAGGTTTCACAAGTAAATTTTTAATTTGGTGTCTATTGCATAAACTTCAATGTCATGGCACAGAAATATATTATACCAGACTATTATGGCAACATAGTTGGAAGATGAACCTTTGTACTGAAATGAAATGAAATGAAATGCAGTTTAACGTCCTACTGTTTTGCTCCAAACTGGGCTAATGAAGACGGGCAAACGCCATACAGTGTGCTGTGAGGGAAATTTTGCCCGAACAGCGGCACTACAGCCTACTCTTATATCGAATTCCAACTGTCGAGTGATCTTTTACCTGCACGCCAATGTGTACACAGGACCTCGGTTTTTCGTCTCATCCGAATGATTAGACAGGTGTCCTTGTCAGGCCCTCCGTCCTGCATCACTGTCAAGGGGGGAAATCACGTCGGAAAATCTGGGTAACTTTCTCGGCCAATGCAGGGATCGAACACCCGACCTCCAGACTAGCGAGCCAGCGTCTTACCCACTTAGCCACTGTGACCCCCACTTTTGTACTACTGTATTGCAAGATAGAGAGTTGGGCAAGGATCCCTGCATCGGGATTTCCGGACGTCGTTTCCCCTTGTCAGGGGTGCAGGACAAGGTCCCGTGTATACATTGTCAGTGGTGCAGGACGGAGGGTCTGACAAGGTCCCGCGTATACATTGTCATGCACGTAAAAATCCCAGTTGGAATTCGATATAAGAGTAGGCCGTAGTGCCGCTGTCCGGGCAAAATTTCCCCCATAGCACACTGTATGGTGTATGCCCGTCTTCATTAGACCAGTCGGAGCAGAACAGTAGGACGTTAAACCCCATTTCATTTCATTTCCCCCCAGTGGCTCCATCTGCTTTCCTACTATTATACGAGATGGAAAACCATGGGATTCATTATCTGTTAATGATAAACAAATTACACTATTTACAAAAGTTTCAGATTTAAAAATTGCTGGCTGTCTTTTTCATTTTTCAGACAATATGCTAATTCTTCATTGTTTAAATATGCATTATGCAAGAGCTAAATCTGCCTATTGCAGGTCTTTCTTTAGGTCTGAAATGTTATCTAAATTATTAATTAGACATTAATTAACTTAATGAGACCATAATCAATTCTCGATGCCATCGTTAGCCTGCTATATTTACTGGATTTGAATACATTTTGTGATGGATAATTTAACGCAAAACTGGATAATCGAGACTTTGTATATTATCATATCAACGTTAGTAATGACGACCGAGATTAGCCGAAAATTGAATCACGAATATCTCGGTTCAGAGTGGAGCGATTTGACTGACATTTCCTGCATATTTTGTTTTCATTGTCTATTTTTTAACTATTACAGCGATAACTGTTAGGTCTTTAGGTCTCTAATGCCCTTTTAACATGAAAAAATAATAATCAACTCTCGATGCCATCGGATCACTCCGATCTTAAGAAGATTAATTAGACAGGTTCGGCCATTTAATGACTTAATTTAAAAATGGTGGGACGAGGCACACATCTTGTCGACCCTTCAAAGGCTAATAATTATCTATTCCTCAGAATAAAGTAATTTGAATGAAATTTTCAATATATTCATTTTACATTATCTATTATTGAACTACAGTAGCAAGAACGATCAGCTCTTTATCTAAATATTACATAACGTATCTTTAATATAAAAGAATAGCCACCTTAAAATATACTTGGGAGATTAGTCTGTCGGTATGTATCTCAAGTTACGACCTACATTATTTTATTATATAGACATACAGGTCACAATTCTATGAATTACAATTACTGAGCGACGTTTCGACTAGGCTTCTCTGCTCAGTAATAAGCAGTACATGTACTTGTATTCCATAGAATTGTGACCTGTGACCTGTATACTCTCGTTCAATTACTAAATGCCATTGAAACACTTGTATAGACATGTACGTTATATGAATTTGTAAAGGGGGATAACTCCAGATTCTCGTTAAGCTTAACGCTCTAGGTAATAGGGGGTGCGTTTTTCTCCCACGTACTGTTTGACGAAATTCTATGACAAAATATTTCTATTTGTGTTAAAATACTGATCAAAATCTTAATATGTTTAAGGAATAGTATTTTCTTTTACTATAAATAGTTGGAATATCCTTGTTTAATTTATCTTCTATACTTTATTCGCGACTCGAATCGCTTTAATAAATCAGAGAATTTTAACTAGTTCTATCTCGCTGATTTATAAGGCCAGCGTAAGAAATTTGAATTGTGGTTCGCAGGAAAAGCTGGTTGTGCGGTCGTTGAAGATGGACTCTGTGATCAAACGGTGTGCCTTATCCAGAGTCAAAGAAGCCCATACCATGAAAGTGCGTGGATGGGTTTGGATAGGTACAAATTCAGTGATTTGTGGTTATATAGAAGATTGGATGCCGATAAAGTGGGTCCAAATATAGATTTCTCGATCACAGTGACTTCGCCTGATTCTCCCGATGCGTGCGCCACTGTTCCACAACTTAACCACACTTTTGATCAAATAAAACGATTGAAGGTAAAAGGTCCTACTATTTTGCTCCTACTGGGCTAATGAAGACGGGCATACGCCATACAGTGTGCTATGAGGGAAATATTGCCAGGACAGCGGCACTACGGGCTATACTTATATCGATTGTTAACTGTCAAGGGATCTTTTACGACCATGCTAATGTGTCCACGGGACCTCGATTTTCGGACCATCCGAACGACTAGGCAGCTGTCCTTGTCAGACCCTCCGTCCAATTTAGTTAAACGATTATACTGGCCATTAAATAAAAGTAGTCAAGCTGATGGTGACTTTTTTTATATAACCATATAAAATAATTTTTTTTTTGGGGGGGGGGTGCGGGGGGGGGGGGGGGTACGTCTGACTCCCCGAAACAACGATCACCCCTACTATGGCACATTAATTAGATTTTACCATGGAAACCAATCGACTGTCAAACACAACTAAACCCCTCTTAATCACAACAATATATTCTGAGCCCGCATACAAATTTAATATATTAAAGAAAGATAATGAAAAATCAATATATTGAAAATTTCAGTCAAATTAATATATTCTGAGCGAGGTATGTGAGAAATGGGTTTAACGTCCACTTGACACAAACTATAATGTCATTTCGGGCCTAACATATAGTTCAAGTTTATTTCAATCATTCGCTTGCGCGTAGGGTCTTAAGCAGTGAGAGGGTCATGTAAAGGCGAACACACGCTACGCATTGTGTTATGAGGAGAATTCTGCCTCGACAGCGGCGTTACGGGACAGTGTGCACACGGGACCTCAGTTTGTCGTCCCATCCGAAATTTTTCCGGGAAAACGGCACTACGGCCTACTCTTATATCGAATTCCAACTGCCACGGATTCCTTGATGCCTTGATGTGCAGGCTAATATGTACACGGTACGTGTGTGTGTGTGTGTGTGTGTGTGGGGGGGGGGGTGATGAGTAATGTCGACTCGACACCAATTAGGTCAATTCGGGACGAACACAACAGTTCAATTTCAATAATTCACTTGCGCATATTAGCAAAGGTTGTGGACCGGGAAAAACCAACGAGGCAAATGGAAGCAACATCACTTGACTCAATGACATGCTTTATGGTCTAAAACGCACGCCTTATAGCCTACCATTCAGTCAGCCAATTCACGGGTATGAAAAGACATTATATAATGATATCAACGTAACGGTGACCTCATTTCCCGAAAGCCAATTGCTGCTGATGCGGAATGGGTTTTCAAACAGAACACAGACTTGTAGTATCGCTTGGTATGAGTTACAATACAATACAGTGCTTTATCGGTTGACGTGTCTATAATTATTATTATGTCTGTGTAAAGGGGGGCAACTCCAGTTAAGCCGCCCGTTTCTAAAAAGACATTCGCATTTCATAAACCAAAATGCATTTTTATTCCGAATACCCGTTTTTAAACACATTCCGGGTATTTATATATTCATTCTAAAACACCTTCGTCATACAATTTCCTCAAAAGATGTAAGATGTAACCAATCTGTTCTTTTGTGAAAGGTATGTGTCTTTATATTGCTGTGGCCCCGCCCCTTTTACATATTATATCTGATTGAATTATGTAGAACTATATATAGAAATTGGTCTTGCGATTTACAAAATATCGACCACAATATCCGGAATGATTTCCAGCTTCTGTTTACGCACTGTCAATGACTGAACATATTCGCGAACAATTATTAATCTATATTCTTGTCAAATGACGTCATGGTTTTTCAAATCATCTAAAGTGTAATACGTGATGGTGGTTCATTTATATACCTTCGAAGACACCTTATTAAGTGTGGTGCGCGGGAAAAGCTGGTTGATCGGTCAGTGGAAGTCCACTCTAGGATCATTCTCTCCGTACTACATACGGAACAAACGCCCTTCACAGAGGGATTAACGGGACAAAACGTCCATATCGAGACAAAACGTCCACGGGCCTAATGGGTCCACAACGGGGTTTCTTAGTTCAAGAAACTCATCTAAGTCGATCTAGTGGCGGACTTGTACTGATGCCTTGGCCACTGTTCCGTACCTTAACCACACTTTTATAAGTACAAAATAAATTTGTACATGTAGTGTGTTTTCTGATTAAATCCTAGTCTATAATTTTATAATTTGGTAGATACGGGTTAGATTGTGTTCGTTGAATGAATACGCTCCCTTGGCTTTGATATTTTAGAAAAAAATCTGTAAAGGAATTTTGATTGGGTTTGGGTTGTTTTTGTTTTTTTTGGTTTTTTTATTGGAGGGGGGGGGGTATAGTTTTATCATTTTGTTGTGTAATTTGGACATAATATTGGGCTACGGCTCGTTGATTTTGCAGGGTTTAAACCAAAGTCACATAGCTTTATTGTGGTCTGTATCCAAAGAGAAGTGAAATAGAGTTACCGGTATCGAACTATTTCCGGTTTTATTTCTAAACCGCAAGAAAACGTCTTGTCTTGTTTACTGTTTTCTTGTATAATTTCAGAGTAAACTCAAAGCAAGATGTCTGAACGAAAAGTTTTAAATGTAAGTATGAAATATAATAGCCTAATATGTATTACTGGGTACGTGATTTACTGAAATACATAGGTTTGTCTAGCTATATAGCCTTCCCAACGACAGGTATGACAAAACGTAATGATGTAATGTTTCTTTTGGAAATGTTTTCAAAATTTGCTTTAGTTAGGCCTACCTTACCCATCTGTCGAGATATCATCATCAATCACTGAATCAGACTAAAGTAAAATTTTTATTATAAGGAACTATGAGTATCAGAATGGGTGCTAGACGACTCGGGACCAAGTTCACTCGGTACCCGCATTTTGAGATCACTCGGGACCTACTGGTTTTATGGTAGATTGGTGTATATACAGTAATTAAGACAAGGATTAGGATTAAAATATATTTATTGAGAATCAATCAACAAGATAATTAACACTAAAACAAACAATAACAATTGAAATATAGTACGAATACCTGCGTAAAAATAATAGCTGTGGTTTCGTAGTCAATTATTATAACGAGTATAGTCAATGCTAGTTGAGTAGTTCTCCTTTGTTTTGTTTTATCTGCGAGTATAAAACTTGACAATAATATATTGTTGAAAATTTGTGTATATTTAGTAATACTTCGTTGTTTTTCTTTTATCAAATAGTAAACGAGCTTGATTGACCGACCACTGCTAATGTTTTTTCGTGAAACGGTATAACTGCAATCAACACACGGCCGCCATTCTCTATGATTGACAACTCACGTTTTTCCTCATCCACCAAAGAACCGTTAGGTTTCTTTGAACATACTGCAATAACATCGGGATTATCAGTTAATCAGCTTTAATTATCCCGCTTTGATCGTTGCCATTTCTTATATTTTTCACAAAAAAACTTTGCCTTGTACGCCCCAATTTATCTATTGGTATTGCCATCAACGACAAGCATGTCAACGTGCAGCTCACGGATTATCGTTCACAATTTCTAGGGGCTTTTAAAAAAGATTGCATGTCGTGTAAATATTTATTTTGTTTTTTGTGTAGGTCATTTTCAAATAAATTCATCAGCATATTATTCGTTTTAAATAAATATATAACTTTTATGAGAAACGATGATTATCAAAGAACCGTAAGTGCAACTACTAATGTTTTATCGTTTGGTTAAGCCTTTTACTAACCACGTGTTTCATGTTCTTAAATATTTTCTTTCGTGTTTTGAATTGGCCTATTTTTAATAAATTATCCCGAGTCCCAAACGTAGTAGTAATTAATTAATCAAGCAACGGATTTAATACTTTTATTTAATAACTCCATGTTCATCAAAACATCGTTGAAACCATCAAAAACATTTAATAGTAATAATTAATTAAGCATATATAATTGACAATACACAGAAATACATTAATTAACACTTTAATTAACACCACTGGGTCCATGCATACACTAATCTACCATAAAACCAGTAGGTCCCGAGTGATCTCAAAATGCGGGTACCGAGTGAACTTGGTCCCGAGTTATCTAGGATTCATCAGAATAAGGGTTTGACAGAATAACAGTTTAAATTACAGATGCCTTCTTTTTTTATTTCAGAAATACTATCCCCCGACCTTTGATCCTTCAAAAATACCAAAAGTAAAAGGGCCAAAGAATCGAACATTTTCTATTCGTATTATGGCACCGTTTAATATGAGGTAAGAACAATATTAAGTGAAACTCACAGTTTCTTTTATGATTTAGCCTACCTGTGAAGGGAGATAAAATGATTATATATTATTATATTTTCTGTGTATGCCTGCTGATAGATCAAAACATGAAATGGGGAATTCTTGCCCACCTTTTCTGCACAAACCCAGGCTAATATTAATAAAGATGTGCATACACCATACAGTGTACAATGCATAATATTTTGCCTGGACAGTGCTCCTCGTCGAATACCAACTGCCTGACTCTTGTTATGTTCATGTTCATGTACCCTCAGCTTTTCATCCCCTCCGAACGTTTCAAAACTATTCATTGGCACGCCCACTATCATGCTCCACTGACAAGGAAAAACTGTACGCTACACTAGATTCTCTTGGTTTGTGAGCCAGCACCTTATTCACCGTGCCACTTCGCAGGTATATCTACGGTAGTTAATAGTCCGGGGGGGGGGGGGGGGGGGCTTGGATGGCCGAATGGTTAGCACCTGCACATTGTATCATTAGGTCTGTCATTGAGTCAACTGGTGTGGTTTCGATTCCCCAGTTGTACATGACAAGGAGTAGGGTCGTCTCTCCGACCTTGTCCGTTTTGTCCGGGCCCTCCGGTTTCCTCCCATTTCCTCCCACTGCTAAAGACCCATACACACAAGCAGATTATTGAAATAAATTTGAACTATATGTCAGTCTCGAAATGACATAGTTTGTGTTGAGTTGACGTTAAACCTCATTTCTCTCTCTATCTCTCTAGTTAATAGTCAAAAAAATTTTTTTAAATAAATGCAATACACAGGTATTATTAGGTGTCACAGCTCCATTGCCTGCGTTGATAGAAAGTCATTTTTTCCCGATTTGTAACCCTTTTTCAACTTAACGTCATACGGTGGCTATTTAATATTTTGTAATAATTTTAAAATATTTTTGAAGCCGATATCCTGTTCTTTTGCTTGGTATAATTTTTATATATGTGTTCATTTTATTAATTTCATAAACGTAAGTTGAAAAACGTCAATTTCCCGTGTTTTGACGTTACGCTGAAAATTTTCGTTACATTTTGAAATGAGGGTACCCCACTTCAAGTGCTCGGTGGCGGTTCCTATTTTTAATATTATTTTTTTATTTTAATATCATTAGAAAGGTAATTGAACGATCTTTCGATCGTTCGGGGGTGCTTTGTCGGCATTTCGAAATACCATGCCTTATTTGTAAGTTGAACGCTTCAATTCACGTAATCTTTTTGTGAGGCGATTTGCCAATATAGCACCCCCGACCGATCGAAAGTTTGTTTTATTGTCGTTTCAATGCTATTAAAATCAACAAAATCGGAGCATTTGAAGAACCGCCGCCGAGCATTTGAAAATTGTATACATTATTCATTTAGGGTAGGCCAACTGGTAATTCCACACAACTTACACAAAGTAATCATCTTTATTAAATCACAAATTTTATTTTTTTCAGGTGCAACACTTGTGGTGTTTATATTTACAAAGGAAAAAAATTCAACTCTAGAAAAGAAAATGTAGATGATGAAGATTATTATGGACTGAGAATTTTTAGATTTTATATAAAATGTCCATGTTGTGTTTCAGAAATAGCTTTTAAGGTTGGTAAACAGTATCCGTCACCACTTATTATTTGTCAGCTCGCCTCCCAGACTTGTGAATTTGGCTGCATAGTTTGTGGTTGATGGCACACAGAAATAACAATAGTTTATTCAAGGCAATAAAGCCACATCATTTGGATAGGGTCTGTTTCAATTTTAGGGTACCTGTAGTCTCTGTTATCAAGTAAATAACCCTGATGAATGTTATTAACAGTCATAATGGCACTGGACAATGGAGATAGAGGGAGCAGCATAATTAGTTAGTTACTGCTTGTAGAAAAGCATGATCCAGTAATAAAATGAAAACCATCTTCCTGAATTTGAAGTTTCTTAAGGATTATCTTAAACCCAAATTAATTTTTTTTTTGTATGTGTGGCTTATTAACTTTGTTAGTTTAAGGGCACCACACTAGTAAAATTAGCAGCATTTATGATTAATTTGAATTCTTCGATCTCTCCTTAATTGATCGGATTTTGCTTGGAAGAAATGATGCACATTGAGTTCTGAATGACATTCCAAGAAACTTGCATGACAATAAACCCCTTATTGTACAAAATTGTAACCCAGGTATCATTTAATCTTGTGTATTTTAATGGTACCCGGGTTACAGTGCAATGTTCTAAGGTTAGTATTTTTATGTTTTAAACATTTTTTTAATTTTTCTAATTTACTAGACCGATTTAAAGAATACAGATTACACACTAGAAGCTGGTGCCACTCGACTGTTTGAGGCGGAGAAACTAGCACAACAAATGGCAGAAAAAGAACGACAAGCTCAAGAAGCAGAAGACATGAATCCCATGAAGGTAAGGTATTTTAAACGGTTACAGTTAGTTACTCACACTAATCAATTTTCATTGAAACCAAGGGTGGGGTTGGGTGGCCGATTGCTATGGTCTGTGGTTTCGATTCCCTGCTTGTGCATGACAAGGAGTAGGGTCGCCTGTCCAACCTCGTGGGTTTTCTCCTGGTGCTCCAGTTTCCCCCCCCCCCCCCCACTGCTAAAGACCCTTATGCGCAAGCGAATTATTGAAAGAGAAGTGAACCATATGTCAGTCCTGGAATTAACTGTTTGTGTCAAGTGGACGTTAAACCCCATTTCTTTTTCTCCGGTTTCCTCACACTGCTAAAGACCCCTACGCACAAGCGAATTATTAAAATAAAAATTGAACCATATGTTGTCCCAAATCGACCTAGTGGACATTAAACCCTTTTTCTCTCTCTCAAACCAAGGAATGCTAGCTACCACAATGTATTCTTTCACGAAGGACCACATACATACTGTCTTTGACAATAATAAATCACATTGTGTCTGTAAAGCAAGCCTGGTAATAAGGCACCTGTCACTGACAATGTCAGGCACAGATTCAGGCTTTGTCAGGCACTAAACCTTTGGTGCCTGTCATTTTGTACGGCACTGATTTGTCTTTTTTATTGATATTATTAATACATGTCCGGCACTAAGGTGAAAATGTCAGGTAGTATTTCATTAGTGCCTGACATTTTGTCAGGTACATGTAACACCGTTATTTCCAGGCCTGCTGTAAAGGTAAGCTCTTGAATTTCTTGCGAAAAATTTTGTTTTCGATACAAGCATTATGTGAATGACCCCAAAACTTGCTGCTTTTATATCAGGTAGCAACTGATTAAAACTCACACCTGTATTACTGTATCTAAATTTTCCTACAATATATTTTAATCTATAAAATTTGATTAATATGCATCATGCAAGAGCAAAAACTGACTATTGCAGGTCTTTCTTTTGGCTTCAAGTGTTATATATATTATTATTTATATTAGGTATTGGAGAACCGAACGAAAGCCAGTCGTAATGAAATAGAACAGTTAGATACGTTAGAGGAGTTACGTGAGATGAACACACGGAACGCTGCCGTCGATCATGAATCAATGATTAAACTTCACACAGCCTACGAAGAGATGTTGACGAAACTACAAGATGAAGAAGATGAAAATATTGTACAGTAAGTTCTCCTTGATTTAATGATTTCTGGTCAACCAGGCGGTCTGAGGTTGTGTTCACGTTCAGGGGAATTTTGCCTGGACAGCAGCGCTACGGTCTACTCTGTTTTGAACCACTGGTAAACAGTTATAAATCTAGGATATATTCCATTTAAGACATCTTTATGAAAGATAAAGGCACGCCAAATGTAGAACTCTTCACAGAAAAGTCAATTTCAGTTCCTGGGCAAATTACCCGTATGAAAACAATTATGGCAGTTGATATAGTTTGGGCAGCCATTTCAAAGTTCGTGAGAAAAAAAGCTCAAGGTTCATTTGGCACATGTGCAGTAATCTGTACCGAAACCAGTTCTCAGACCAGATAGCGTTTACACTACAAAAATTTAACTGTGCCATGCCTGGCACCATGCCGAGACTACCTCACTTCAGTGTGCAAAATTAGCACGGTACTCAGTAGACATGCTTATGTTTGACCTGTTTTCACTACAAAAAGAATTAACTGTGCTGTGTCTGGTACCGTGCCTGGCATGCTTAAAATTTGTGATGTAAACAGGGTGTATATTTCATCTGTTTATTGTAGGTCTATATTTGGAAGTAAAGACGATAATTTTGTAAAACGACTAGCTGATTCGGACAGTGAAGAAGAAATAGAAGAGCCACCCAGGAAGAAAATGGCTGTGATTGAAAAACCTACAGATCTTCTAGCTGAAGTAAGTTTACGCTTAATGCAATATTTGTAAATATTTCAAACAACATTTTCTTGAGGTTGATGTTGAGGTCACTACTGTGTGACTTCTAGGTTTGGATCCCTCCATTCTCTGTGAGGGGGGTTGAATGGCCAAATGGTTAGCACTTGTGCGCTGTATCATAAGGCCTGCCATTGAGTCAACTGAAGTGGTTTACAATCCCCGGTTGTACGTGACAAAGAGTATGGTCGTCTGTCCAACCTCGTGGGTTTTCTCCGGGTCCTCCGGTTTCCTCCAACTGCTACGCGCAAGCGAATTATTGAAATAAAAAAAATTAAACCATATGTTAGTCCCGAAATGACCTAGTTTGTGTCCATTGGACATTAAACTACATTTCTCTCTCTCTCTCTCTCTCTCTCTCCTTTCTCTGTGAAAAAATTTGTCCAAACCATTTTTGCCAAGACTACATGGAATTATTTTATGACCACATTATATTTTTGTGTTGGAAACACTCTGGTTAAGAAAGTACAATCATCCTAGAGAAGAGACAAGTAAACATTTGTTGGCCGAATGGAGTTGATATTGGAGAAAATTATAGAGAAAGGGAGGTGTGGACATTTGATAAAGACCCCTACGCACAAGCAAATTATTGAAATAAAATTGAAACAAGTGTTTGTGTCGTGTGGACGTTAAACCGCATTTCTCTCTCTCTCTTTAGCTGTGGGCATTGGCCGAGAAAGTTCATCTAGATTTTCCGGCGTGGTTCTCCCTTGTCAGTGATGCAGGACGGAGGGGCTGACAAGGAAAGCTGTCTAGTCGTTCGGATGGGACGAAAAACCGAGGTCCCGTGTACACATTGGCGTGCACGTAAAAGATCCCTTGGCAGTTAGAATTCGATATAAGAGTAGGCCGTAGTGCCGCTGCCCGGGCAAAATTTCCCTCATAGCACACTGTATGGCGTATGCCCGTCTTCATTAGCCCAGGTTAGGAGCAGAACAGTAGGACGTTAAACCCCATTTCATTTCATTTCATTTCTTTAGCAGTGGGAGGAAACCGGAGGACCCGGAGAAAACCCACGAGGTTAGATAGGCGACCCTACTCCTTGTCACGTACAACCGGTGGATCAAAACCACACCAGTTGACTCAATGACATACCTTATGATACATTATGCACGCGCTAACCATTCGGCCATTCCCCCGCCATTCCCCCCCCCCCCATCCTTTTAGTGTTGGAATATGAACATGTAATCTATGATACATTATATCAGGGCTTGCCACGAGACGCGAGCAGTTGCTCGCGCTCGCGCTGTGCTCGCGTAAATCTACATTTACGTGAGCGGTTCGTTGCTCGCGTAAAATTTTAAGAAAAACCTGTAAAAATAATCAAAATATTGATAAGTTTATTGCCGAAACTAACCCGACAGTGTCAATAACGTCATAAATTCGTCTGTCAAACTGAGATTCACCCAGCTGCACGCGGCATTTCCTCCTTAAATTTGATTGGCTAATGAAGTTGCTCACCACTCGTGTTACTAAAAATACACTTGAGACCTGAACATCATGACTGGTTTTCCCACGAACACCAGTAACAAACGCGTGATAATCGAGTCTAAAGTAAAGAATGTTTACATCCGGCATTTGGCATTCACGCTAAATAAACACGTTTCAAACTAATATTTATCGGTATTTCTTATTTTATCAGAACTTCGGTTTTTATTCCATTGTGCAGTCGTATAATTTTAAATCTAAGCGTAATAATGGCCAAAGAAAACCCGATTGCCCTATCTACATTGATGTATCCACATTTATGTCGTGGGGTGAAGAAATCCATACGGTGATTGGTTTTAAAGAAGAGTCGTATGACTATGACTGTCAAAAACAGAAAGCGATGGTCACACATGTTTACTGCAAAGCCAGGAATAGCAATTTCATATGATTTTAAATTGAAACAATGTTACAAAATGTGTGCTCACGGAAACAATTTTTATTGCTCGCCTTAGCCTAAATTTGCGTGAGCAGTCATCTGCTCGCCATCAATTTATTCGTGGCCAGCCCTGTTATATTGATACTCAGTATTTATGATAATCTAAAACCAAACACTAGGTGGTATATGCTGTTTCTCACTTTTCAACATTTCTACAAGATATTTACTCCAGAATTTGATTATCTCCCTTTTATGAATATCAACATAATAAAATTTAGGCATGATAGTATAGTTACCCTCAGTTAAATACTATTTTTGAAATAGATTTTTAATGATCCAAGTGTTTCTGCAGGAACGAGGTGGATCCCGGTGACTGTGTGTGAGGTTTTCATTTACATGTGCTGACAATAAAAGATTATATAAATCATTTTACTGCTAGAACTGCGTCCACTGTAACCCAGGTATCATTTAATCTTGTGTATCTAGCACTAATTACTTTCACATTCGTTTATTATCCAATCTTTGTTTTAAAATTCATAAAAACTGTTTAAAATCACCATAAATCGTTTAATTTGTATTTGATAATGAGTGTCCAATTTACAAGTGTTTTAATTTCTCAATCACTGTTAAAAAAATAAACAAACCAATTGATTAATGATGTATAATGATTAATTTTTGAACAGTGGTCAGGAAATTAAATACTTGTATATTGGACACTTATTATCAAAATTAATCAGTCAGCTTTAAACTGGACACAAGTACAAATTAGATGATTTTTGGTGATTTTAAATGATTTTTAAACGAAGATATGATATTAATATTAAAAGAAATGTGAAAGAAATTAGTGCTAGATACACAAGATTAAATGATACCTGGGTTACAGTGTTCCATGATGACTATTGTTGATTATTCATTTTATTCATTATAATCATGATTTTTTTAGTTTAACTTTTGATTGTTTTATATATAATTTCAGGACCCCCCAAAAAAGGAACCTAAGAAATTAGAATCTTGGCAAAAGAGTGTTGGCGTAATGGGAATTAGCCAATCCAAAAAAGGTTTAGCTGGACTAATTGTGAAAAAGAAACCCAAAGTAGAAGCAACACAAACATCTGAAACAAAGACTGTGAATGGTTCTCATACTGCAGCAAATAACCAATTAGAACATGTGATACAAAACACATCATTTAAATCAAAACCTTTAAGTGACAATACTGCTTCAGTTAAGCCTGTTAGCCAATCAGATTCTGCATCTGTAAAGCCAGTTAGCCAATCAGATTCAAAAGCTGTTATTTCAGGACTGAGTATGCTGGGAGATTATTCGGATAGTTCAGGAGATAGTGACTGACAGTTTTAATTCTATATTTAATCCGGGATATGGTTCTATAAATGCAGTTTTGTAGATAGGGGTAACTTAACCCTTTGAAGTGTAAACTCATAATAATGTCACCTTATGAAGTGAAAAGTGTACAGGCTGTTAACAAAGGATCGATCTTACGATCTAACGTTACCAAGCAATAAGCACAGTATCATAAGATAGGTTGCCAGGCAACTAAACTTAACCCACAATATTGTAAAGAGGAAAGTCTTGGGGGACTTAACTGTACATGTGCAATGTTCTGATAGGATAATAATATGCAACCATGTGTAACATATCACTGATAATATCATGTGCCTGTATATTTTATATAAAACCAAAATCACAAATCTGTCTTCAATAAGATATTATGTTTAACGTGTACTTTATACCAACACGGGGGGGGGAGCCACAGTGGCTAAGTGGTTAAGACGCTGGCTCACTAGTCTGGAGGTCGGGTTTTCGACCCTTGTCAGTGATGCAGGATGGAGGGCCTGACAAGGACAGCTGTGTAGTCCTTCGGATAGTACGAAAAACTGAGTTCCTGTGTATACATTAGCGTGCACGTTGGAATTCAATATGTAGGCCGTGATGCTAATTTCTGCGCAAAATTTCCCTCATAGCACACTGTATGGCGTATGCCCGCCTTCATTAGCCAAGTTCGGAGCAGAACAGTAGGACGTTAAACCCCATTTCATTTCATATTTATATTCCTGCGATATGGATATATTTATAACATATCTTGATGTCCAATTGGTCTTACTCCTGGGTGGACATTTGTCAACTTGTGAAGGACATGTCCGGCATCTACTGGTAAAATACCATCCCTGATACATGTATGTACTGTACATTCCTGTCATATGGATAGATGCCTCTTCAACATCTCGTACCACTACCCCTCTTTCACTGCCTAGCTAATAAAAAGCTACATCATAAGATTGAAGGTGGTTTGGGTGGACTAGTGGTTTAACACATGCACAAGAAATCGCAAGGTCTGTCATTGAGTCAAGTTGCGTAGTTTCAGTCCACCGCTTGAATGTGACGAGTAAGGTCGGTTGTCCAATCCTGTGAGTTTTCTCCAGTTTCCTCCCACGTCCAAAGACTCCTACATGCAAGCAAATTATTAAGATAAAATTGAACCATATGTTAGTCACAAAATGACCAAGTTTGTGTTAAACCTCATAAGATTGAAACATGTCATCTTGTAACTTTGTATAAGTCTTGATATTCCAGTCTTGAGAAAGTTTGGTTCAGATTATCACCATACAATGAACACAACATTGTCACATGTTTTATAAAACTAAAAAAACATTCTGTAAATAATAATTGTTATCATTAAATAAAAAAATTTTATTGTCTGTCTTTTAGCATTTTATTTTCTTTTCGGAATTACAGTTCTTTTTATTCTCTTGTAAACATGGAGTCATGGGCGGGGGGCGCGATCTAATGCTCAAACCCATTTCCGTATAGCCCCATCTATGAGTTGGAATCACACTTTGTGACAAGAGGTTGATTTGATTACAAGGAGTTCCAATATTGTGCAGTAGCTTGCCTGATTCTTGTGGATGGCTGAGTGGTTAGCACATGCGCACTGTATCATAAAGTCTGTCATTGAGTCAACTGGCGTGGTTTCGATTCCCCGGTTGTACGTGACAAGAAGTAGGGTCACCTGTCCAACCCCATTTCTCTCTCTCTGATTCTTGTGGAACACATTTTATCTCAATTAAAAGCAGAGTTATTCTGTTCTAAAAGCTTCACCAATAAAACTGCTACTGCCTAAGCCGAAAATGCTCATTACCAAACTTGGTCAAGGTATTGATGCAATAAACTGGGGTTCTTACTCGTACTCAATTAGAATCAAAGTATTGCTTATCTTAGATTAACCTAAACAGAAACAATTCAACATCGCATTCACCTAGAAACTAAAACACGGCTTCTCCTTGTCTCCTTGAGAGCCTGTCTAGTTGTTCAGATGGTATGAAAAATCAAGGTCCCATGTACAAAAAAGAAACCACACTGTACATGTGCCTGTCTACATTAGGCGAGTCGAAGCAGAACTAGTATGTTAAACCCCATTTCTTTCGAATATTCTAGCTCGATTAGAAGCAGAGTTATTGTGTACCAAAAATTGTGACAGACAAACAGACATATTTTAACACTCTCCTGCTTTTCTCCAAAGGTGTGGGCAATAAATAATTTCATTAATATATGAATTAAAGTGTGTCCCCCTCCCCCCCTTTAGGGGGGTTGGATGGCTGAATGGTTAGCGTGCGCGCGCTGTATCATAAAGTCTGTCATTGAGTCGACTGGCATGGTTTCGAATCCTCGGTTGTATGTGACAAGGAGTAGGGGCGCCTGTCCAACCCCGTGGGTTTTCTCCGGGTCCTCCGGTTTCCTCCCACTGCTAAAGACCCCTACGCGCAAGCGAATTATTGAAATAAAATTAAACCATGAAATGACCTAGTTTGTGTCGAGTGGACGTTAAACCCTATTTCTCTCTCTCCTCCCTCTTTTGTAAAGGTATATAACAGGACCCTTAGAACAAAGAAGGCTGGGGAGGCGTTTTGCAGTAAAATAATTAATTATTACATGAATAGAACACCAACACATTCTACATATAAACCAATGTATAAGTTTAATTAATATACAATTCCCATCCATATGTAAATCTAAATCATACAATGTTATAGTAACAAAACCATATACCTGACACTTTTTATATAATAGCACAAATATATGAAGACCTGTATGTGCATAACAAACCATATACATGAAGACCTGTGTATATATAACAAACCATATACATGAAGACCTGTATGTGTTTATAACACAGTATACATGAAGACCTGTGTGTATATAACAAACTGTATACATGAAGACCTGTGTGTATATAACAAACCATATACATGAAGACCTGTATGTGTATATATCAAACCGTATAAGACCTGTATAAGTAGGGGATATTGAAATGCAAATACCTATGCAGGTTGTGATATGATAAATAGTCATGGCACTTGACATGTTTTGAGAGTATGTTCACAGATGAAGAACTTATTGCCCCAACAGAACCACTGAGCTGCACATGCAACACGCAATAGTGCCATACACCTGTGATGGGTTCATTGTCAAATTTGACACTTCAAGGAAGGGTTGATGAAAACTGCCGCGTGCTGGTTTATCTATCCATGTTAGCATTCCTATCGGTTCTTGTATAAAATTTACTGTTTAGCATATCTTTGCTTTAGTGTGTAAAGTTTATTTTCATCATCGGGAGACGTGTTCGTCGACGTCAACCGACAACACTGCAGATTGCCCCAAATCGTGATTGGACGGTTGAATTGCTGAATGTCTGAGGATTGGTGGAGCAATTACTCATTATTAAGACAAAAATTAAAATTGTCCATTTTCACTTTTGACGGTGTATCTCTTTGCGAGTGAAATGGGGCCGTCAGATAAGTCGCCCATATGAACTGTTTATGTTCATGTGTAGGCAATTGGCCTGTTATTAACATACACTGGTTACCTCTAATAAAAACAGCAGTGCATTTCCGCAGTTTTGTATTGTTTCTGAATATCCCCTACTTTTTTTGAAGAGTATATATAACAAACCGTATACATGAAAACCTATATACATGTATATATAATTAAACGATACAATATTATAGAAAAAAAACATATTTTATGTGTGTGTATATAGATAACAAACATGAAGACCTGTATACAGAAGAAAATTAAAATGATGACTACATTAATCAATATGTACAATTTCATATTATCAAAACCTTAAAATAATAATAATAGTTACAATTCCATAGTTTGTAAATGGACCGACTAGCTCTTTTACTCTTATAAACAATTCTCATATAAATGACATAATTTCTTACAAGTTACTATCCTGCATAGAGCATGTTCATACTGTGAATTTTAGGCCTTTTAAGACATTATTATTATTAATAACATAAGTGTCTACTCTGCTTAGAGAATGTTAATACTGTGAATTATAGGCATTATAAGACTATTATTATTAATAAACATAGGCTTGTGCTGTCATTACAAAAGTTACTACTCTTCTTGTCATGTCGTCATGTCATGACATCTTGTCATGTCATGTTATGACATCTTGTCATGTCATGACATAGTTTACTACCCTGCTAATTAATAATCTTGAGTCTTTTTGTGATGTCATGACATAGTTTTGTTCGATAATCATTAATCCATTCCCCTGGGATAATATTAAAGGTTGTTCTATAAAAGTATATCAATTTATTTTACATGCCAAGTGGTTTATCAGCCATGCTTTACACATAATATGAATCAACATTTACTTACTACCAACCGGTATATGGACACCGTTCCACATAATTATTGACACATCTTTGTTTGCTGTTCAGTAAATATTGGTGTCATGCTATCCAGTGTTTTACATGAATCACCATGCAGGCACGAAATATAGATCTAGATCTGTATTTAAATCAGATTGTTCAAAATGTTTCCTACTGATAAGAACAATTGTATTGGATAGAAGTATGTTCTGCTTAGAGAATATAAATCTGTTTATTTATGTAGTTGATTTAAACAATATATATTCAAATAAGTTTCATATTCTCAAATAGTAAGGATTCAAAAACACACCAAAGGCTTATATTAATACGTCTCCCTACCTAGTTAATTCAGGTACATGTTGTAGAGTCCTGGTATAAGTATTGCTACAATATGAAGAGCCCCGGCTAAGAACGATCTAAGTCACTTTTTCAGCAAACCCCAGTTAATGGCGAAATCTGGTAGCCAATTGATTAAGCTTTCTGTGGAACAATCAATTTCGGGTAAAAACGATCAGAGTCACATCAAACCAAGCCCTTCTGAAATGGACTCCCAGACAAATACAAGTCCATCGTATTTATTTGACTTTAATTTGGCTGAAAAGTGGAAGTCAGTTGTTGTACTGGTAATTATGATTTGTATTAAACATCATTTTGAAATTGTAATCAAACCCACTTGTTCAGTTCGCATCAAGTATTTTAGTCTAAAAGTCTGTTTTGGCTTTTATGCGAAAAGAGTAAAATGTGACTTAGATCAGTCTTCCTCTGGACTCTTCATATGTGTATCTAAACCAGTGGCTTCTGTTAACTTATTATCAGTAGTAAAATCATCTTGATCTTCCACACGATCTGCTAGTGTTAGTTACCCTTAGTGACGGTCCAGCTATTTCTATCATATTATAGTCCCACTTCAGACAGGAAGTACTATAAGATATTATTATCAAGACGTTTAATTCGGTCATATAATACTATAGGGGTGCTCGATTCACAGTCCAGAACGTCCCGAATTGACAGAATTGCAATCGAGTAAAGCAGAATTCAGTTCTGTCACAGTTCTGTCAGTCCCGACAACGGAGGTGATGTGAGTAGAATCGTGATGTAATTAAACACAATGAATAGGTTTCGGCTGCATGGTTGGTTGCGATATTTACTTATTTAGTTGACGCATGCTTTGTAGCCCCAAAATCCACCTTTTCACTCGATTGCCACTATTTTGTGGATTGAGAGAATTCAATTCCGGAACGTTCAATTGAGTACCCCCTTATAGTTGTGCATTGTAAGGGTAGCTAACTCTAGCAAAACATGGGGAAGGCCAATGGAAATTATACAATGAAATTAATTTGCCCAATTGCCAAATGTTTTTTTCGTTCCAGTAAATCAGGATATACATCATTTCTGATTTTTAACAAAATCTTTAATCTTGATCAAAAAAAAACATTTTTGATATTTGGCCATTTTGGCAACTGGGTAAAATGAACCCACTGGAAATTATATTAAACCTGGTAGTAGTCACAGCAATCTAATCAATAACTGGTCCCTCATCCAGTCAATAACTGGCCCCTCATCAAATAGTTCTTTATGATGAAACAATATTTTCCTCTTTTTGTCGTAGTCCTGCTACAGCAGCGAATGCAGCACCTTGTCCACTTCCATCTTTGGCTAATATTAACTTAACCTTAAAAAATAAACATATCAATTATATTAGAAACAGTTTCTAATTATATATATAATAATTCTAATGAATACACCATCATGACAAGACAAACGAGACAGTATTTGAACCATAAATATAGGCTACTCTAATTAATCTGTATCAAATATTATTATAAATAATAATAATAACATGTCCATTTATATAGCGCCAAATCCACGTGCTCATAGCACATACAACTATACATAAGTCTTCTGGCTCTAAGTTTGTTTTTTTTGGTCAATTTCTGTAGTAAATTTTGAAAAGATGATTTTTTAATCGAGATTTGAAGATTGATAAAGAAATCACAAAATGGAGTTCAACTCGGAGTGCATTTTAACTTTCAGCGGCAGCAAACGCTTTTTGTCCAAAGGTAGCAAGTATACACCATTCCCATGAGGAAACAAATTCTTGACATATTTTTGTATTTTATTCTTTATGCCTTAAAATTGTACAATATCTACGAAATAAATAGTGTTTAAACATACATTCCCACAAAAGTATTTATCGACTGATTATTTCCAATAAAAGTATGGCAAATTTGGTAAGACACCCAATCTTACTAGAAAAATACTGGATTACCCAAAAAACACCCAAGGGGCAAGTACGGAACCTGACTGTTGTTGAGAACGCTGGATCGGAGACGGTCCTGCGCATTTTATGACGTCATATGTGGATTATGGGTTAGGGTATGGGTAAGGCTTGGCCCAGGGTTACGGCTAGCCCTGTCTACATCTCGAGACTATGACAAAATCTACAGATCCTAGCCCTTATCCTAACCCACAATCCACATATGCAGGGCTCACACTGTCGGTCGCCAAAGTCGCAATTTGCGATAAAATTATGAAAGTGGCGATTAAATTTTGTTTTTGGCGATAATTTTGGCGATAAAGTTTTGGGGTACTGGCGATTCTTTTTTAGAATTGGCGAAAAAATATCCTTAAAATTCTAATTGTATTTATCCCGGATTAACCATAGCGGCATACTATAAATATGACGTCATAAAATGCGCAGGACCGTCTCCGATCTAGCGTTCTCCGACTGTTGTCTGCCAACTTGACTTAGGGATCAGTTGTTATTTGTTGATCGAATGGTTAGGCGTTTGGGGAAAATTGAGGAGTGTAAATGTTCAACAGACTATGCATTTAAATGGAAGAAAAAGAAGTTGGTATGGAGGTACAACTGGGATACTAACTCCATAATTTACTCACCTGTGTATGGAGGTTCAACTGGGATACTAACTCTATAATTTACTCACCTGTGTATGGAGGTTCAACTGGGATATTAACTCTATAATTTACTCACCTGTGTATGGAGGTTCAACTGGGATATTAACTCTATAATTTACTCACCTGTGTATGTAAGTTCAGTTGGGATATTAGTTCCATCATATAATTATGGAATTTAGGATGATGTTCGTATAATGAACCATCTATTGCCACGGTAACTTCTGGTAGATTTACATGTCGTATTAATACTGCTAAGGCTGAAATAAAACATGAACATGTAATAAATAGTGTCCAGATGATCAAGACTACATATCAAAGGCTCAACTGTTGGATGAGATATAGAGATACACAAGGTGATAGTTTGTGTCTGACTCACACTGATCAGCAGTGAATATTCATTAGCCCATTCCATTCCATGATAAGGATGACATCGATGCAACTTAATGAGCCAGAAATATTAACTTTTTTCCTCTAGACAAATTAAATTCTAAAACATTTTTTTTATGTATTAGAAAAATAAATAAAGATGTTTGACATATTTGTAGGTAAAAATTATTCCCTATTTAGTGTAAATGGGTATTAAAATGAGTAAAAAGAACGTCTTATGTAAACAATGCATGCGTCATTGAGCCAATGATTGACGCTGCGTGATGAGACGTCACGTGTTGAAGGTAGTCATCTTTTACAGAGATATTAGAAGACTCTTGTAATTCTCTGAGGAAGAGGTGCCCTATGTCCGAGCTTGGTGATACAACACTTGAGATTGCACGAGAGTTAAATAAATGCAGCTAAAGGTTATTTAAGGGTATACTTCATAAATTTATCTATATTTTTGTAGCACAAAATCAACTAAGGTAAAAATATATTTCTAATTCGAAATTAAAATATACGTAAATACAAGAGGTAACCAAGTCAGATAATCCTGAGTAACTTTCTTGACCAACACTGGGATCAAACCTCGGACCTCCTGGTTAGCTAGCCAGCGCCTTACTCTCTGAGCCACCGAACTTCTAAATCCAGGTAAACTGTATCAGAATATTTTAGACATACATGCTACTACAATACATACAGAGAGGCAATTTTTGGACTAACAAATGGTTAAATTTCATTTCAATATTTCGTTTGCTGCTTGTTGGGGTCTTTAGCTGTGGGAGAAAACCCCAAGGACCTGGAGAAAACTCAAAACGTTAGGCAGGTAAACCTACTACTTGCCACTATAAGCGGGGAATCGAACCCATGCCACCTGACTCAATGAGAGACCTTATGATCTGACACACACACGTTAAACCATTTGCCCTCCCATTGGCCAAAGAATATTACCTATAATTAATCAGACATACCTGCGGCAACGATATAAGAAGCTCTTTGTACAACAAAATCACAAACTTCTCTAACAATAGCCACATCTTCATCTGTTGCTAGTTTCTCTAGTTTCATTTTCTCTAATATCTGTCTAGTTTTAGCTGTGTCATTCCCTTTATCACTATAATAACAAGTATAATATTTGTCTAGTTTTAGTAACAACTCATGTCACTATAATACCAAGTATAAAATGGGTACATTTTGGACTGGAGAAAGAGAGAGAGGGGGAGAGAGAGAGAGAGATGGAGTTTAACTTCCACTCGACACAAACTAGGTTATTTCGGGACTAACACATGGTACAATTTTATTTCAATAATTCGCTTGCGCGTAGGGGTTTTTAGCAGTGGGAGAAAACCGGAGGACCCAGAGAAAACCCACAAGATTGGACATATGACCCTTCTCCTTGTCACGTACAACCAGGGGAATCGAAACCACATCAGTTGCCTCAATGACAGACTTTATGATACAATGCGCACGTGCTAACCATTCGGCCATCCAACCCCCCCCCCCTCCCCATTTTGAACTGTAATTTTGGGGATTGAAATAAAATAAAAGATATCTATAAGACAGCATCGAACAACAGTATAGAAGTACTTTATAGCAGATTAAGAGGAAACTGGACAACCTGCAGAAAGAAAAGCCAAGAGGTTGGTCATGCAACCTTAATCCTAGTCACATACAAGTTGGGAATCGAAACCACGACACGTGACTCAATGACAGAACTTATGGTTTCACATCCACGGAAAAATTTCTAAGCTCATGAGGCTGTGCCTTCATTGCTCAGATGTTAGACTCCATACCTATCATGAGGCTATATTGAAGACTATTATTATTTTTTGATCGTTATAAACGACATACCTATCAATTTCAGTTACAAAGCCAGAGGTAAATTTCCACCTAGTAGCTAGTTCTTCAGTCACCTGACCATTGAATAAGACGCCCTGTTTGGTTAATTTAACTAACACTAATCGTACAAATTCTCCCAGATACATCCCAGCAAATGATTTCTCAAATCTAGAAAACACAAAAACAAAAACCATGTAATTCCTCAAGATGTTTTAGGTGATCTTGAGAATAACAAAGCGATTTATTTCATAATCATGAGATCAAGTAATGTTTTATAAAAGAGAATGGCTCTAGCAAGTTATCTAGCGGGCTTTTTGGTTCAAAATAACATGAATTATGTTGGAGGGGTCTACAAAACGAAGTATTTTTAAAGATATTTCTTACCTTTGCACTTAACAAATTTAACTCATGTGAATTGAACTTCTGTTCATATAACTCACATGAATCTAACTCATGTTCATTTAACTCACATGTATTTAATTTTAGTGAATTTAACTTACACAAATTAAACTCAAGTGAATTTAACTAACATGTATTTAACTTGTGTACATTAACTCATGTGAACTTAAGTCACATATATTTAACTAATGTGAAATTAACTAACATGTATTTAACTCAGGTGAATTTAAGTCACATGAATTTAACTTACGTGAATGAATTAACATGGTTTGAATATTGATCAACTTCTTTCTCGAATTCTGTTTTATAAAAATCCAGACATCCTCCATCTCCCATACATCCCCATTCTACATTCACTAATACCTTGTAACAATAACACATAATATATAATACAGCCATACAATAACACATAGTATATAATGCAGACATACAATAACACATAGTATATAATATACACATACAATAACACATAGTATATAATATACACATACAATAACACATAGTATATAATATAGACATCCAATAACGCATAGTATACAATACAGACATACAATAACACATAGGATACAATTACTATTCTACAAGGCAACAATAACACATAGTATATAATATAGACATACAATAACACATAGTATATAAAACAGACGTACAATAACACATAATACACAATTACTATTCTACAAGGCAACAATAACACTTAGTAGCCAATATATATATATATATATATATATACAGTTTATAGTTCAGGATAGGGATGATAGATGATAGACAGTATACCAACCAGTCTCTATACATTCACTTATATGCACAATGGGAGGAAAAAAACAAAGCATGTAGAGAAAACCCACAAAATTAGGCCAGCAACATGGCCCTCGAATAGATGTGATACCAGTAAGTATTTTAGTTGGATTAGACTCGATTAACAAGTGGTTTGTCTTGGTCAAGAAGTTTGAAACTTGAATCTGTGGAATCCTACCTGTTTTGGTTCTTTGAAATCTCCTGTGTATTTTTCTATATTCTCTAAATGTTCTACAAAAGCTGCATTTGAACCCGTTCCTGGAATATATAAATATAATAAAGCTATGGATTTAAACATTTTGTACATATATGGTATTGGAAATAATCTTGTAACTAAACTACTAAGGCCTAAATTATTCTACCCTTGATATATCTAAACTATTAAGGTCTAAATTTATTGGTTCAATTAAGATCATCTAAAAATTCTAATTCTTAAATTAGCTGGCAACCATTTGTTACCGAAAGTGACTCCATGTTATAGGGGGATAAACTACTAGACAAGACCCCGGCACTAAAACAGTTAGAATGTCTAAATTAATTTGTCAATATGTTAGTATGATTTAAAAAAGCTGATTAATGACGCCAAATTATTCTGTCTTAAATAGGCATGACTATGGGAGACTATCCATTGGCTGGCTGACTTTAAGGTCATACAACAATAAAAATCGTGTTCTCAGACAATCCTTCCAAACTGGGAATGGGGGTGGGGTTTTTTTATCTTTGCTTTTACTTTGTCAAAGAATCACCAACAACCCATTTGAAGGTTCTACATATATCCCATCATGCTGTTAACACAAATTACTAATTCTATTTCTAAATCTCTAAAATGTTTGTCTGTTAGTGTTACTCACCTAATATAACCCCAATTCGACATTTTTTATCGAGATAATTTCCTGCCATCAGTGTACTAGTGGTATCACTCATAACAGCTACAATATCCACAGGTAAATTCTATAATATAAAATAACAACAGGTAAATTCTATAATATAAAATAACAACAATTTATAACAACAGGTAAATTCTATAATACAAAATAACAACAGATAAATTCTATAATACAAAATAACAACAGGTAAATTCTATAATATAAAATAACAACAGGTAAGTTCTATAATACAAAATAACAACAGGTAAGTTCTATAATACAAAATAACAACAGGTAAATTTTATAATACAAAATAACAACAGATAAATTCTATAATATACAATAACAACAGGTGTATTCTATAAAATAAAATAACAACAGGTAAATTCTATAAAATACAACAATTTATAAAATTTATAACAACAGGTTACTGATGGTATCATCAATTCAATTAAGGACAAATGGTCTTCTACAAGAGGCAATCTGATTAAAATACAGATCTGTATTATGTTTCGTTATTTTTTTTTTATACTTTCGATGGTCTTAAGACTGCATGAAGATCTGACCAGTTGTAGTCGGAGGTCACATCAGGGGTCACGCGAACGGCTATTGACCTTATGACATCAGACATTTGATTAACCAATCAACATTGATGTTTGTAGTATAAAACCCACAGTTCTGTGCATCACACATCAGCCAAAACGCGGGTTATATAACAACTCTTCCAGATCCTAGTGTAGTAAAGACAAGTAAACGAAATTTTGAACTATAAAATATGAAACGAAAGATGATCTGTGTTTTAATCAGATTGCTTCATATGGTAGCCTACACAATGAACAACTTTTGCAAATAATTAATAAGTTGAACTAATATCGACAATCTTATATAATATTTTTCTGAGAATCAGAAAGATATATAAGTCTGGCTATATATAATGGAGTAATTGACAAAGACGCTTGGGAAAAGATGAGATGTGTCATTTTAAAAGTGATAAAGCAAGACTTTAATATTATATAAAGATAGAATAATGAGGTTTAACGTTCCACTTTTCTGCTCCAACTGGGCTAATGAAGACAGTATATCATATACAAGGACTTCTATAGGAAGAGAAGTAGGATGTTAAACCCCATTTCATTCTATGAAATTGCTATCATTTAACCAAGATGAGCCCAATATGAAGCACAGAAAAGTAGGACTTGCAGCCCCATTTCATTTCCAACATGAAGCACAGCAGTAGGTTTGACTAATGTTTAACTGTTACTCAAAGGTGATTTACAAGATAAACCAGTAAATAACGTTTAACTGATACTCACAGGTGATTTACGGGATATAGCTTCTTCCAATAATTTCACTGAATCTTGTCCCACACCATCTGGACATTTAAAACTCTTCGTCCACGTTAATAAAATGGCGCTGTTTAATGCAATCTGTGTGGACGGGAACGAAAACGTAAAACCTACAAAATAAAAATATAATATCAGAAATTTATCTCAGATAGAACCAGGGTTAAAGAAATGAAATAAAATGGGGTTTAAAGTCCTATTCTTCTGCACCGACTGGGTGAATAAAGAGGGGTACACCACAGTGTACTATAAGGGAAATTTAGCATAGACAGTGGAGCTACAACATACTTTTATTAGAATTCCATATTTAAATGGTTCTTTTACGTGCACTGTATGGTTATGTATACATGGGGGGATCACGCGGCTAAGTGGGTAAGGCTCGTTAGCCTGGAGGTCGGATGTTCGATCCCTGCATTCGCCGGGAAAGTTCATTCAGATTTTCCGCAGTGGTTCCCCCTTGTCAGTGATGCGGGACGGAGGGCCTGACAAGGACAGCTGTCTAGTCCTTCAGATGAGACAAAAAAACGTAAAAGATCCCTTGGCAGTTGGAATTCGATATAAGAGTAGGCGATAGTGCCGCTGCCCGGGCAAAATTTCCCTCATAGCACACTGTATGGCGTATGCCCGTCTTCATTAGCCCAGTATAGGAGCAGAACAGTAGGATGTTAAACCCCATTTCATTTCATTTGATGTATACATGGGACCAGGCTTTTGTCTCATCCGAATGACTAGACAATGTCCTTGCCCTTGCAAACTACTGTACTGTGAAAATTGAATCACTAAAAGGAATACCGGTCTAAAAATGTTTTATTTCTGTTCAGCAGACGATATAAAACGGATATGGTTAAATGCCAGCACCACCTTTTCTTTGCGACAAAATGTGAAACACAGTGGCTCGCGTGTTCCATGCCTGTGGTGACCGAGAAAGTTTATCATGATTTTTCGACGTGGTTTCCCCTTGTCAGAGGTCCAGGACGGAAGGTCTGACAAGGACAGCTGTCTGGTCATTCGGATTGGAAAAAAAAACAAGGTCCCATGTACACATTGGCATGCATGTAAGACATACCTTGGCAGTTCAATTTTCCCTCAAAGCACAGCTATGGTATATGCTAATCTTCATTAGTCCAGTCGAAGCAGAACAGTAGGACGTTAAACCTCATTTCATTTCATTTCATTAGTCCAGTCGAAGCAGAACAGTAGGACATTAAACCCCATTTCATTTCATTTGCTACAAAATGTTGATGGGGCTCTTTTTAATCCAGTTGTCTACCATATTGATATATTTATTTTGTATTTCTAATTAAACATCAAATCTACTGTTAATTTTTGACCTGAATCAATGACAGTTTTTTATACAAACAATACTCTTGTCATTGTTTAACATCAACACAAATACTGATGTATTTACAGTTTCTTAAATTACATTTCTGATAAACATTCACATACAAACATACTTCGGCCCTAGTAATATAGGTGTGATTTTGAATTGATATTAGGTGTGAATTTGAATTGATATCAGATGGGAGTTAAATTGATATGAAATGAAATGGGGTTTAATGTCCTACTGTTCTGCTGCTAAATGGGCTAATGAAGACGGGCATGTGCCATACAGTGTTCTATGAGGAAAATTTTGTCTGGGCAGCTGCAATATCCCTCACTCTTATATCAAATTCCAACTGCCAGGGGATCTTTTACGTGCATGCCAATGTATACATGGGACCTCGTTTTTTTTTTTGTCCCATCCGAAGGACTAGACAGCTGTCATTGTCAGGCCCTCCGTCCTGTACCACTGACAAGAGCGAAATCTCGTTGGAAAATTCCGATGAACTTTTTTGGCCAATGCAGGGATCGAACACCCAACCTCCAGGCTAGCGAGCCAGAGCCTTACCCACTTAGCCACTGTGGCTCCAAAATTGAATATCAGGTGGGATTTTGAACTGATTCCAGGTGGGAGTTTGAACTGATTTCAGATGGGATTTTGAACTGATATCAGGTGGGAGTTAAATTGATATCAGGTGGGAGTTAAACTGATATCAGATGGGAGCTAAACTGATATCAGGTGGGAGTTAAATTGATTATCAGGTGGGAGTTAAATTGATATCAGATGGGAGTTAAACTGATATTAGGTGGCAGTTAAATTGATATGGGAGTGGGAGTTAAATTGAGCATGATTTTCTTTTCAATGATTAAGTCAATCTTTGGGAATTTCTCCACTGCCCTCTAGCCATACAAACTACATTCCAATAGAAATTCTTCATGCAAAATGCTGTAAATGTCTAATATAACTTACCCAAAGGTAATTTTTGTTCTGAACTGATGAGATTTTCTTGTTTTAAAAAATCTTCAATACTCAGGGCGATGAAATCAAAAACCTGTGAATGAGAAAAAAAAGTTTCAGTTTGTGGAATCAGCATTTTGAGAAAGTGATCCAGCATTGTCGATTCTTTCTTTTTGCAGTTAATTAAAAAGTTAAGATGTCTGTTTTGCATGTACAAGTTTTTGCCAGTGAAAAGGTTGGTCAAATAATCTAATGCTAATGTAATGGAACCATTTCCATGTGACTGGCCGAAGACTACAGCACCTGACTATAGTCAGTTCACTGTTTTATTTGTTTGCAATACACGACAATTACTCTGAAATCGTTTAAAATCAGTAGGCTTCATAGTCGCACAAGTTACATGTAACGTATAAGTCAATAGCTTCAAGAGAGTCAACAAGAAATTGTGGACCCTGTCTTGACAAACGGACTAATGAATGGATAGGGGGGGGGGGGGGGGGGGGTGATGGCAATATAGGGCTATTTATTGAAGTTTAAATGTGTTCATTCAACCTAGCCTACATATTATATATTACATATCAAGATACACAGATAATACCTTCACCCGACTTTCTCACAGAAAGCGAGAGCTTAACATCAATTCAGCACAAACTAGGTCATTTCAGGACTAACATATATTTAGATAATTTGCATGGCCTTAGAGGTCTTTAGCTATGGGAGGAAACTGGAAGACCTTGTGAAATTTTTACAGGCGATCCTACTCCTTGTCAGTAGAAGCTGGTAATCGAAACCACACCACTTGTCTCAATGACAGACCTTGTGATCTTAACATGCACGCATTAAACCATTCAGCCACCCAACCCCCTCTCTTAACTGTTTCAAGGATTGTTTGTTTATTCAGCAACTATATGACATACTACATGTGGTATATTAGATATACCCTAGATATTAGATCAAGGTTGTTTATTCACTAACTACATGTATAACATATACTATATCCAACCATGATGTTTACTGGGATTATATCAAATTACATCATGGAATATATTGACATGAATTATTATCAATATCAAATATAAAAGAGCACATAAGATGAACTATAAAAATTGTATGTACTTGATGCCATGGTTTATTATATACACTTAAAGCAATTTAATTCAAATCCATTTATAATTAATTGAGACATTTTCACTCAAAGTTGCAAATATAGACTTCCCCTAAAAACAACTTTGCCAATTATCGAAAACACTCTGATTACTCTCAAACGCCAGGGACATCACCATGACCAATGTGAAAATTAGAAATGTCCGGGATATGTACTCATAGTCAATGCCTCAATAATTACTTAAACCCTTAATACTTGAAAATAAAACAATTAACTACAGAATAATTTGTTTGATATGAAATGAGTGCCGTAAATTTAATTACATACAATATCATTCAGACATTTAATGTGCTCTTTAAACTACCCCCCAGCACACCATATATATTGACATGGATTATATGAAATATTAAAGGGGTGGCCTAGTGACCGGTCACCTCTGCCTCTGGCTTGGAGTCGTGGTTTCGATCCCTAGTGTGAGTGTATGTGGCTTGGAGATAGAGAGAGAATGAAATGGAGTTTAACATCCACTCGACACAAACTAGGTCCTTTCGGGACTAACATATGGTTCAATTTTTATTGTAATAATTTGCTTGCACATAGGGGTCTTTAGCAATGGGAGGAAACCGGAGGGACCCTGAGAAAACCCATACATTTGGACAGGCGACCCTACTCTTTGGTCACATACAACAGGGGAATTGAAACCACGCCAGTTGACAGACCTTATGATACAAAGCGCATGTGCTAACCATTCGGCAATCCAACCTCCTAAATAGAAGAAGATGAAGATGAAATATTAAACTAACCCCAGCACATGGTCCACTTAATACTTCCTCCGTTAAACTGTAATATTTAGTATTAGTAGTGGCTACACCATCTTTTAAATTTACATGTACTACACGGAAATTGGTTCCACCTAAATCTAGACCTAAGAAATCACCATTTTCTGAAATAAAATAATAATTGGAAGAGTTGACACTTTATTCATCAACCAAAACTGTTCATAAATTTTGATATATCAGTAATGATTTGCATGGTGAAATGTCTGTCTCTTGAAAACAGAGAGAGAGAGAGTTTAACATGCACTCAACACAAACTAGGTAGTTTCAGGACTAACATATGGTTCAATTTTATTTCAATAATTCGCTTGCGCGTAGGGGTCTTTTAGCAGTTGCAAGAAGCCTGAGGACACGGAGAAAACCCAGGAGGTTGAGCAAGCGACCCTACTCATTGTCACGTTCAACCTGGGGAATCAAAACTCTTGAAAACAACAATAGTAAATCAACATTCAGGTGCCACGTAAATTGAGCCAGTAAAGATAGGCATACACCATATAGTGTCCTATGAGGGAAATTTTGCCCAGACAGCGACCTTCTTTTATTTCGAATTCAAAGTATTGAGGGTTCCTTTACATGTCCTTTTTTTGTCCCATCCAACGAATTAGATACTTCTCCTTCCCAAGCCCTCTGTCCTGCAAGTCGAGTAAAAATATAAAATGTCCAGCTTACAAACCTCTACCATCTAATAAACATCTAACATGAGTAATTGCCATTAAAATATCTGATTTCTTCCGTGTTGCTTCATCTTTACTTGTAGCCAATCGCATTTGGTCTTCCATTGTATCCATAATACGTTTGATCGTTTCTTCCGATAGATAGAGAGGCTGTAGAATTTCTTGTAGCTAAAACAGATAGATAGATAGAATTCAAACTTTCAAGGGTATCTGACATGCAAGGCATGTGTAAACAGGAGCTTGTTGGGGTTTTTTCTCATCGTTGTCCCTTGTCAGACCCTCCTTCCTTGAAAACTGACAAGGGGATCACGTGGCTAAGTGGGTAAGAAGCTGGCTCGCTAGCCTGGAGGTCGGGTGTTCGATCCCTACATTGGCAGAGAAAGATCATTCAGATTTTCTGGCGTGGTTCCCCCTTGTCAGTGATGCAGGACAGAGGGCCTGACAGCTGTCTAGTCCTTCGGATGAAACAAAAAAACGAGGTCCCGTGTATACAATGGAATGCACGTAAAAGATCCCTTGGCAGTTGGAAATCAATATAAGAGTAGGCGATAGCGCTGCTGCCCGGGCAAAATTTCCCTCATAGCACACTGTATGACATATGCCCGTCTTCATTAGCCCAGCATAGGAGCAGAACAGTAGGACGGTAAACCCCATTTCATTCATTTAATTTCATTTGAAAACTGACAAAGGGGGAACCACTCAGAAAATCTGTAAGAACTTTCTTCGCCCACACCAAGATCAAACAAAGGGCCTCCAGGTTAGTAAGCCACCATCTTACTCACTCAGCAGGAGCATGAACAGGAATTTGAGCAGCAGCTGGTCCACAGTGGAGACAACATCACTTTTCGCGCTTGGTCGGGGTGGGGACTACAATTTTATAAAATCAGAAGCCGTGAAAAAAACGCTATTTGCATGATATTCTCTGTGCTAGCTTGGCGTGGGGACCCTCTACACACGTGCCTGTTTAGCCATCATTGCTTCCACTGATCTGTGGAGTGTGGGCGCAGGTCGTAAAGGTGCTGAAATTCTGCAGTTCAACAATGTTTTTCAAGTGTTGGGACAGTGAAAAATTAAACAATCATACCATTAGTTTCTTGTCGTCGGCTACAGATGACAGCCTTGCCATTCTATTAGAGAGGGCGTCCATCTTTTGTACTATTCTTTTGTTCACTCTGTGTTACTGCTAAATACTGAAAACTGAATTTAAAAGATACTGATTTGAAATAAAGCCTTGATTGAATGAAAGATATAGTCCTGCCATTTTGGTCTGTGCTATCTTCATATGACATAAATTTTGTTAAATCCTCCCTCAGACTGCCTCCATCTATCTCTCTTTCCCACAGTCGTAATGTATACTAACATTATTGTGACTCTCATTTGTTTGTCTGTCTGTTCTGGGTTGGCGGCTACACTAGGGCTGTCCAGAGGCTAAAATTTGGTGTATAGGGGTAGCTCAGTCCCAGGAGTAACATAGGCTAGGTGGCATTGGACTACCACTCCCAGATTCTGAGTTATACCACTTTCGGTAACATGCACAACCTGTGCAGCAGCATGTCATCTGCTTGGGTTTTAATATTTATTTGTTGAATTTACCGCAATATACCATGTTGCAGCACACACACACACACACCCTCCCCACATCTTAATGGGCTGAATTGGTCAATGCGTGGGGAAAAGGGTTATTCCTTAAACATTTGCAAACCAGTCAATTAATTTTAGCATACTTTTGATTAGCAAGATATATTTTCAAAACTAGAAATATATCCATTTCTTATATATATAGATTCTATTTCTAAGTGTTTTCATATCGTGTTCTAAAATTAAAGATGCATTATGTTAGAGCTATTAAATCTGGCTAATAAAGGTTATAGATTTGAATCATCTATGTTGCAACTATTACAGCAAGTTAACTGTCAGCTCTTTATCGAAATCTTACATAATGCATCTTTAAAATCATAATTCAAATTGACTGACAGGTACATGTATGTTCTCCACCGGTCAATTTCTCTGCCAGTCCGCCAAGGCCGGATAAATGTGACTTAAATTAGAGCTCTGGCTGTGAGGATCTAGCAAGGATCAGCCGACAATAAATATCTTGTGCCATGCCAAATTGATTTGGCCTTTAAAGAAGGTTTAGTTCGACCTAATTTGCGTAAAAATGAGAAATATTATATAGCTCCGAATAACCAGAATTTACATTAAAATCAATGACAGTGAATTAAATAGTGATACAAACTGCCAACGCATCGCTAAAAACAATGTTTGCACTTGACTTTGAAAACCACGTGAAAGAGTTTGTCAGGCTAACTTACATGTCCCTATTGAATGCACACCAAATAAAATTTGCAATTTCGGTTGGGAATTAATTTTAGCGGATTGTTTGATCCTAAAGATTTTTACTTACTTTAGTCTTACGGTGCACAAATGTCTACAAATCTCTTCTTATGAACCGGTGACCTTTTATTGAACCCAACTTCTTTCCAAGAGTTATCTCCCTTGCACATATAGTCATCCATTATCCAGACTGTTTAAAGGAGACTTAATTTTTTGTTTTAGTTGCGCACCGATAATGTTTGCCAACATATATTAGTGTGTATTAAATAAAATAATTATCCATAAAAATGACACACCAGAGGGCAGTAATTAAGATTTGATAATATAAAGGAATAATAAATATTAAGTTTGCCAAGCCTGTTCCAATGTCTTTCAATTCGGAGTAGGGTCGCCTGTCCAACCTCGTATGTGGGGGTTCCCCGGGTCCTCCGGTCCCCCTCCTCCATTGCTAAAGACCCCTTGCATTTAAATTGAACCACGTGTTAGTCCCGAAATGACCCAGTTTGTGTCGAGTGGATGGCAGAATGGTTAGCACGTGCGCGTTGTATCAGAAGGTCTGCCATTGAGTCAACTGGCGTGTTTTCGATTCCAGGCTGTACGTGACAAGGAGTAGGGTCGTCTGTCCGGTTTCCTTCCACTGCTAAAGACCCCTACACGCAAGACAATTATTGAAATAAAATTGAATCGTGTGTTAGTTAGTCCCGGAATGACCTAGTTTGTGTCGAGTGGACGTTAAACCCCATTTCTCTCTTAGGTGGATGACGTTAAACAATCTGATTAAAACACAGATCCTATTTCGTTTCGTTTTTCATAGTTCAAAATTCGTTTTACTACACTAGGATCTGGAAGAGTTGTTATCATTGACGTGTTCTGGATGATGTGAGGAATTAGCCAATGAAACGGTCTGTTACGGCGTGCTTTTGGCGTGCAATACACCGAACTGTGGGTATCTTATTAGAAACATCAACACTGATTGGTTAATCAAATATCTGATGTCATAGGGTCAAAAGCCTCGCGTATGAACTTTGACGTGACCCCCCCCCCCAAAAAAAAACTGGTCAGATCTTCATTAGTGTAGGTCATCGAAAGTGTAAAAAACGAAACGAAATATAGATCTGTATTTTAATCAGATTGGACGTTATTCGCCTTGCAATTCTTTTCAATTGTATTGTATTGTCAGGTCAAGCCAATAAGTGACATGTTTAAGGTGCCAATCATTGTGGTTAATTCCACTGAAGACGGGACAAAAATCCATGACATTAAAATACAGTATCAGTTATTTCCGTAGCCTAATAGTCCATCAATTCTCTACCTCAAGGGAGGGGCGCCTAAAATATAACCGAGACGTTCGTGACAAAAATTGTAACGTCACCAGAGAAATTCGGAATATTGAATTGATCCCAATGGTAAACAAACAAAATTCGATGATTTTCCAGACCTGCGAATTAGATCATTATTAAAGAACTATATCATCAACTATTCGGGATTTATTTACATCACACAAATAAACTTTACAACATTTAAAAATATTTACATATGGTTTCCAAAATATAAGAATATGTACAAAAGGTTATTTCTTATATCTGTACAATATCTACATGTTTACCTTGTCGCTTACCCTTGGTTCGTTTCCACATAAAATAGCCCTGAGGTAGGCTACGCATGGATTAGTGCTAAATGATAAGGCCAGCTCAATTTTTCGTCATAGGTCAGCCCAGATGTAAATAGGGCTAGCGCTAATCCCAACCCTAACCTACAATCTCGACAACATGTGTAGGCCTACATCTCAGCGACCTTGACAGAAATTGAGCTGGCCTTAACAAATAGATTTAGCCGGCTACCCAAGGGCTAATTTATCGTATAGGAGCCGGGCCAAATTCGACATCAGATTGGCCGCGGACTGGGGGTATTACAGGCGATTGCTATGAAATGGTTGGAATAGTATTTATTCTCGATCATGCATTAATACCACAGCGTATTACCAAGGGTAGATAACTTTAACTCGCCATGCAATAAATAAGATAGTCATAGGCTGACTGTTGGGGGAGGTAACTCTGGTTGGCCGAGGGTAGACTAAGATGATATACAGTTTATGGTAAGCGTTAGATCCTTCACAGTGGTTAGAGTTGAAGCTTATATAAATTACGTCATACAGAAAACTGTATAACGGGCAATACGCAATATTCTGATGCAGACACACTTTATATATAGTCGCCCTCGATCTGTGTTCGCCTTTCATTTCTAAAGTGCCATGGAGACCACCGGGATTCCTTGGGTTATTCGACATTAAATGTCTAAAATAGAACTTCCGTTATTCAGAAGTTAAATAACTGTAGACTAGATAATCCATGACATGATAATAATTGTAGGCTCGGTTGTCGTTGACATGAAAATAATGTTGGCTAGAATGTTCATAACACATGATAATAATTGTGGACAAGATTGTCCATAACATGATAATAACTGTAGGCTAGATTGTCCATAACATGATAATAATTGTAGGCTCGATTATCCACAAAATGATAAAAAAGGGCATTGTCAGTATCTCTTGACGTCCCGTCCATGGTCACGTATATTATCATAAACATCACTGCTTACATTATATAAATGATTATAATCTTCATCCGATTCGCCACTGGTTTTATATTGATTTGATTCGGTCTGGTTTTCTCCCAGATAATTATATTCAGCATCGCTTTCAACTGTTGGGTTCTTTCCCTTTCCCTTGTTAGTAGAGTTATCGTTCTTTCGTGAATTAGGCTTTCGAATACTAGTGTACAAATTGGCGTTGTTCAATTCATTATAGTTCTCCGACTGGCCAACAGAGTTACGGTTCTTGGATCTGGAAGAGTTAGCTTTCCCTTGTCCACTGGAGTTATCTCCCATCACACTAGCTTGCCTCGACATACACAAGTCGTTTATGGTATTATAGTACGTTGACATTCTGTTGGAATTTCGCTTGTTTGCCGTCTCCAGAACGTGATATTCTGGTAATGACTCCGATGACGTTTCTTGCGACTCTGTTTTTTTAGTCTCCTTCTTTGATTTTTTCCTGGAAAATAAAACAAATATTTTGGAAAATTTGAAAAAAAAAACAATTGGGATAGTAACTGATTTATGCCAATTTTTGTTCCCTACCCTAAAATTTTTCACAAAAACAAATCACATCTACCAAGACCAGTCAAAAGAATACAATTTTTATAAAATGTAATAATGCCATTTTTAAAATTCAGCAGATTATTTCACTTCAGAAACACCTCGTCAGGATTGCGCACCCCTAAACATAAATAAAGTTGTCTTATGTTCCTCGGATAAATATTGTAACTCTCTCCTCTGAATAACATCGCAAGAGATGTGGATATATAGTATACAAATCGGGAGTGAGTAAGACGCTGGTTTGCTATTCTGGAGGTCGCGGTTTCACTCTCAGCGTTGGCCAAGAAAGTTCATCGGGATTTTCCGGCCTGGTTTCCCCTTGTCAGTGGTACGGGACGGAGTACCTGACAAGGACAACTGTCTAGTTGTTTGGATGTGACGAAAATCTGAGGTCACGTGTACACATTGACGTGTACTTAAAAGATCCCTTGGCGGATGGAATTGGATATAAGAGTATGCCGTATCATAGTACATTGTATGGCATATGCCCGTCTTCATTAGCCCAGTTTCATTAGGTATCCGTTATATCTATATAGACTATATTAGACTAGGAATCAGGTATTAGCCTATTATATATCACAAATCCGTTCGCGGTTTATCGTATTATCAGACGCAGCGTAAATTCAGATATTTCAAACTGTAACTAGATATTATTTTATCGTATTTGAATATATTTTTTGAATAAATGGAAGGACAATATATTTGTGCATCATCTAAATCCATGCACACCAAGACAGGGTTTTTACTAACTATTTAACGTGCCCTTTAGTGATGTAACTAGCGGGCAGATGTCTGAGTTATTTAACTATCCAGTAGAAGTATAGGTATATAACGTACCCTTTAGTGATGTAGCTAACCGGTAGAAGTCCGAGTTATTTAACTAGCCAGTAGAAGTATGGGTTATATGACGTACCCTTTAGTGATGTAACTAGCCGGTAGAAGTCTGAGTTATTTATCCTACTCTTTAGGGATGTAACAAGCCGGGTGAGGTCTGAGTTATTTAACTTCTCTTTAGTGATTTAACTAGCCAATAGAAGTCTGAGAAATTTAACCTACACTTTAGTGATGTAACTAGTGAAGTCTGAGTTATTTAACTTCCCTTTAGTGATATAATTAGCCGATAAACGTATGAGTATTTTAGTGATGTATTTAACCCAACCTTTAGTGATCTCAATAGCCAGTAGAACTATATATGAGTTATTTAACCTACCTTTTAGTGATTTCAATAGCCAGTAGAACTATGAGCTAATCTATGTACCTTTTAGTGATATGAATACAGCTTGTAGACCATGAGTAAACTTACCTTTTAGTCAAAAACATAGCCAGCAGAACTATGAGAAGTAATACCAATAGAATGATAATAGTTAAAGCCACGCCCACTATTACACCCTGCGTTAATCCTTTAAATACAAAATATAAAATAATCAATAAATTAATAATCAACACAGAATTTGTATAGCGTAAACAGTACATCGATATATAAAGTTCCTAATACGCTTTAAAATCTATGTGCAGGATTCATCAAATAGATGTCTTCAAACGTGACATGAAGAAGTTTTTGATTCTTTGATGTCTATGGGTATAGAATTCTAGAGAAATATGCTATAAAGTGTAAAGATCACCCACCGACAGGATAAATAATTTCAATGGAATATTGTTACCAAAACGAATTTCGTTAAATCTAAAATTACAAATACGAAAAATTAACAATTATCGATGTGTTTCTCGCCCCCCCCCCCCTCCCACCCCTCACTGTTAAAAATCTCTTAATGTTTCCGTCCACTGTTTACATACCCCACAGAGTCACACCACAGCTAAATGACCCACTGCAAGGCGTGATCCCACAGCTAAATGACCCACTGTTAACATACGCCATGGCGTCCACCCACAGCTAAATGACCCCGATAACTCACGGTGTCCTCCCACGGCTAAATGACCCACTTTCAACATACGCCACGGCGTCTTCCCACAGCTAAATGGCCCCACTGTTAACATAACCCAC